TGTGTTAAGCATAATAATAGATTTTAAAAGATATGCATAAAACATACTGATCTAGAGTAGCGCACTGAGTTCTTAGTTATCAGGAGTCAAATTGGGATAGCTTGTGGTGGCTCTGAAAACCAGTTATTTTCTTAAAGATTGTCATTTTGTACTCCAGGATCTGAGCTTTCATTTTGGGGGGGGAAAAAGTGTTTAGCCTTATTGTTGGGATGATTATCTTGAAAATGTGAACAAAATAACCTGATGCAGCGATGTTTTCCTGAGTCTGCAGACATTCTGAACAATAGCTCTGAGAGATGTGGATTGCTGCCATATGTCTTAGGCGGGAAGAGAGGGGGCAGTCTGAAGCTTAAGGATGGTAATTTAAATGTCAATATTGCCAACTTTCACTGCTGATCAAAGCATACAAGAAGGAAGGACTTTGCAGATCTGCACAGTTTAGTGCAAGTGGTGTCTCATTTTGTATAAAGTCTGTGGTGCATGGGAGAATACCACCTATTTTCCCCATTCTGACCCTTGGAGCCATCAAGCAGGGAGAACCGGGAAGCATCTGCACCCTACCAGTCAGGAGCCAAGCCTGAAGTCCACCAAACACAAAAAGGATCAGGGATATCCTGAGCCCAACTGAGGGATCCAAGCCCAAGAAGACCAGCTGAGCCCAGAGAATATCTGAGCCCTATAGGGAGTCATGCCTAAGAAACGCAACAGAGCACGTGTGATTATTTTCAACATGTGCACAATATACTAGGAGCAGCATTTCATTTTGGTATCTTATCTTTGTGTCTTTAAGTGAGCATATGCTGATTTGTGGATGGAACTTAGAAAAGTACTGCTACTTTCTTTTTCATTTTGAGCCCTGCTTTAATATATAGCTCATTGTAAAATGTCTTGGCCATTTTATGGTAATAGTAAGCAGCAAGCTTAGAGAAGGTATGAGACCTATAAAGGAGAATACCGTGGAAAAGATGTCTATGTTACAGTCATGCTACTTAAAAAAATTAGTACAAACTACTAATATCTAGGATTTTCCCTCATTTGGTAAATCCAATTAATACCAAAGTGTTCTATATCTGATCTAGACATTATGCAAGTGTTTTTATACCCCTTGATTTTTAGGGCCACTATTCCATACCCTACCCGTTTAATCACCTATTCATCTTTTATAAACAGTTTCCATTGATGCTGACATTTACTAGGAGTAGGGTTACATGGGTTACTATTTCCAATATGAGCTCTAATTCAGCTCTATAATATGACCAGCAGGAGGTGTTCACAGAGTGGAATTCCCTCTGGAATTTAAGTGAGTCATGTTTATATCATACTGACGCCTTAGCAGCTTGAAAAGGAAATATTCCAAATTTGGATCTCCCTAGTGACTGAACTGCTTTCATGCATCTGAGCTGATTTTGTGTGTGAGTGTATGTATGCGTGAGTTTATGTAATAATATATACAATTTATATATTCAGGCTATAGTTAAACTTGCACATTTGTTGATTTACTGTAGGGTAAGTGATGACAGACAAACAGCTTGTATTCTAAATTAAAATATGTCTATAAAAATTCTTTCCAATCTGAATTTCAGGATGGATATAAAATAAAAACCTGAATGGAAATAATCTGCGTTTCCTTTACATAAAAATGAAATGTAATTCAGTCAAAAAAAAACACAAAAAAAAAAACAAAAGTTTGAAATAATTAGCAGATATTGAGGCAGAATAGTGTACTGGAATGAATTTGGTTATGAGAATATGAAACCTTCCTGAGTTCTAATCCTTGCTTTGCTATTGACTTAGTATGTAGCATTGGGCAAGTAACTTATCCTCTGTGTTTGTTCCTCATCTGTCAAATGGGAAGGATGCTTAACTCATAGGAATGTTTTGAAGGATTAGCTAAGTGTTTGTGCAGTGCTTTGACAATAGGAAATGACTACGTGCATATTACTTTTTATTATGCTATCACTGGGTGCTATTGAATAAAAAGGACACTCACCTGAAAGGAACACTTAAATATTCTGTGTTGTAAAGTATGACCTCTCAGGAAGGCTATGAAGTTACAGTGATATTGTTAAGATATTGTTGTATATAAAATATAAAAAATGTTAAAATGCATTATTTGCCATTCCTTCTCCCCCCCCCCCCCATGCAGCAATCCCTGTTGCAATATGAATATACAGTAGTTTTATGAGTCTGTTCTTGTGACTAGGGGAACCTTTGCTTCTTTTCATTCTATATTGTGAAGGGCAACAAAGAAGCAGAAAGCCCACTTTAATGTGAGCTTGTCAAAATCATTGCTTTCCATTCCCCACTACTTGGACCTCAAAGAAACCACTCTGCAGGGACACAAAGACTGGAGATCTGTAGATTTCAGAGCAGTGTGTAGCAGAGCTGGAGGTCAGTTACTCAAGTGCCCTGTTTCTCTGTTACCTGGCGGATTTCAGAGCAGGAGTTTTCCTCTCTTGGGGTTGGGGATAAGACACTGGTATGGCAGAGGATCGGTTGGCAGCTCAGATCATTACAGAACTATAATGCAAGGCAACTTGGGAGGACCAAGGAGCAGAGAGACTCTGAACCAGATCTCCTCTCAGATGCCAGGATATGTGGGGTTTGTCTTAGATTTCCCTGTGATTGTTCCTTTGCCTTGTCTATGAATCTTAAAATCTCTCTTCCCTTGTGTAAGCATTGTTTTGAGTTTCATCTCACAACACTTCCAAAGCGCTTTTTAACTTCCTTTGATTTTTTCTTTGGGAGTGCTTGTAATGGGGTAGGATATGGTGTACATTTAACTTCGTTATTAATAATGTAATCGTATGCATTGGCTCAAATGCTGCACTGAATGTAAAATGATTACAATGCCAGCACAATACCCTGCCTGTTTCATTACTAAACTTTACTGATTGCATTAAATTTCAAACCAGTTGTAACAGAAGTTGCACTGTTTTCTCCTACCAACTCTTCCAACTATTCAGGTGTTGGCATACTATGTTCTGTTTGACAAGAATGTAGTGCAGTTCTGGTATTGCAACATTCATTTATCTAAATGTAGCAGAGCAGATATTTGGTGAACGAGAGAGAGCAGTTTCAACTTTTGGAATTTACTTTCGCTTTGTTTTTTATACTCCCACTTTTAAAAAAGTTCTTTTTATGAACATGTTTCACAGAGTAGAAGGCATGAGTGTATAGGTAGAAATGACTTGGTTTTTTTTTTAATAAAAGACTGAGATTATTGAAATAATTTGAATAGTATATTAGATTCCTGTTAAAACAATACTTAGCATTTCATATCTTGAAAGTGCTTTACAAATTGTAAATAATATTCAGTAATTGCTCCTCATTAACAAAGTGTTAAAATTGCCCAAATATTAGATGATTTGACTTCAGTTTTGTGAAGGTTTTTGTTACCTTTCACATGCAAAATTTGTGAAAACACTGCACAATAATTTGTTGGCCTCAATTTAATTTATATTAAATCTGCCAAAAAATGGATCTTAAGCTGTAATAGCTCATCAAAAAATGGTAGCTTTCCTATATTTTGTTTGGGTTTTTTTCTTCTCATTTTTATTAATATTTATTCCCACTGGAGGAAAAACTGCTTTCATGTGCTGTTGTGGGGGAGAAAAAATAGGATTTTTAACTCTTTAAAGCTTGTGATGGCCATCTTGCGTGTAATCCTTATGAGGAATTTTCATGACTGTCTGAAGCGTGAAAATCTTTACTTTCACTGGGAAGTTAAAAACAAAGAAAGCCCCATGTGCATTCTTTCCGATATATCTATTGGCAAAAGTCAGAATTGTCTTTAGGATTTCTTTGAGAGGACCACTGAGATGATTCATGACAACACCACATGTAACTTGCTCAATTTAAATAAGGGTGGGAGAGACAACCTTTAGGCCAGAAACTGGAAATCTGCCATAGAAATTCAATAAAAATAAACACATTTAAAATAAATAATATCAAACCTAAAAGATGTATCTATTCCAGCTTTTCCCTTTCTCTCTCCTCCCCCCCCCCCTTTGTCTCTCTGTCTTACTCATTCTTTGGCATTGTACCATTTTCATTTTTGTGTACTGTTTTCTGTTGTTCTCTTTTCTCTTATCTTTTGGTCTACTCTTTCTTTAAGTAGCAGCATTGTTTTCTCCTCATTTTTTGTCTTCCATATTTGCTTCCCTTCTTCATCCACTTCCTTGCTTTTTCCGCCTTGTATTCTCTTCTCTCTCCATGGTATCCTCAATCTTCTGCCTCCCACTGCCGTACTTCTTATAGGGGTCCATCCTTCCTTTTCTGCTATGGGAGCTGTTATTAGGGATGGGGTGCCTCTCTTGCTGCCCCTCTGCGGACATGTCTGCACTGCCTCTCGGAGCAAGCCTCCCAGTCTTGGTCCACAGACTCCGTGCTGTAAAAATATCTGTGTAGGACAGTGCTTTGATGTGGGCTTGGGTTGGAGCTAGGGCTCTCAAGCCCACCTCTCCCTCCAGGCTTAAGAGCCTGAAAGACTTAGATTTTTAAAGAGACTACACTTTGAATAATAATTGTTAGAAATTAATTCCTGCATGTGCCTTTGCTCACAAAATACATAGTTCACCATAATTAAGGAAAAAGTCTCATCTAGAAAATAAAAACCCAGGAACATCAAGTATTTGTTACATTTGGTACATGTCCAAGAGATAACATATAGAACAGTACTCTCATAGAACAAGGGTATTCAGAAAGCTAGAAACAGAAAACAAACAAGTAAATTACATATTATGAAATTCTGATCTTGTGTTTCTGGAAAATCTGATTTGTGGCATTTGTAATCCCTTTGTTGGTTGCTTTTTAGCTGTGGTCCAAATGCATAAAACTCTGGCAAAGCTCAGAGGAAGAAAAGAAAAGAAAATGTATTTTAGATTCTAATTGGGACTTAAAAACATTCTTAGACTAGTGATGTCTGGTTTCTGATGTCACAAAATTCAACGTGTGTAAATAAATAATCATCTTAGTGTAGTGCTTTGTGCTTTCTGCAGGTTGGGAATCCACGTGTTGAACTCACACTCTCAGAACTTCAAGATATGGCTGCCAGACAACAGCAGCAGATTGAAAACCAACAGCAAATGTTGGTTGCTAAGGTAAAAATACAAAGGAGTGGAAAAGAGACAACTGCAACAATTTAAAGACTTATATAATTTTATCTATGAACAGCTTATTTATAGATTTCCTTCAACATATACATATATAATTTTCAAGAATTTAGAAAAATACACTGCAACATTTGGAATAAAAGAAAGAGCCTGAGAAATCTGCTGCATTAACAAATACTTCTAAATCCAGGCAATATAGAACACTACAGCGTAATAAACAGTAGACATGGAATATTAGTATGACTCCTTAGTTATATGCGTCTTTAAAATGATGTTGTTACCTCTTTGTGTTACATTGATGTTTATATATTAGAAAGTGAGTCTATGTTCAAAGTTTTTTATTTCTGTGAAGCATTTTGTGACACTATTACAGATGCTACATAATATATACAGTATGTATTGCATGCTTGGACTACAGGACTGAAATACATTTAAATGGATTCAAGCTAACAGAGTTTGCTGTATTTGCAGTTCTCTGGAAGAAATTATATTGGAAAAAAAGAAACATTTCCCTTATTTGCTCAGTGCATGGGCTGTCATTTAGAGAGCTGAAACTTTATCTTACAGCAGATCTCCTTATCTTTGCCTGTCTAAAATCCTCTACTGACCATTGTTTGCTTCCTTTGGGAAATTGAGTAATGGAGGGTTGGAAGACATTTTGCAACAGCAGGAAGCGTGTTGCTAGCAGCAGGAAACAAATGCTTGCGGAAGCTTCACAGATGTGTTGGAATGAATGTTTAGTCTGAAATTGGTTTTGGTGTACATTTGACGTTTGACTTAGTAGCTTCAAAAGCAGTGTGCCCTGTTTCTATTTTTTGAAGACAAATTTGTGTGGGCACAAATCATAGTAGGTTTTTCTAGGAGTAGTATTGTACATTTTAATTAAATTTTACTATCATATGTGATTTTATTTATTTATTTAGAAAAGCTGTATAGGCAAGAAAACCATCCAAAGTTGATAGTGAAGTTTGCGTTTCTTTAAAGTCAAGTTTTGTTGTTTGTTTTGCCGTTATCCAACTATTAAAAAAATTCCTCTAAAATTAGATTACATGTTCTCCTTGTTTTGGCAGGAACAACGTTTACGTTATCTGAAGCAGCAAGAACGCCGTCAGCAGCAGTCTATTTCCGAGAGTGAAAAGCTTCAAAAACTTAAAGAACGGGTGGAGACCCAGGAGTCAAAGCTGAAAAAAATACGTGCCATGAGAGGACAAGTGGACTACAGCAAGATCATGAATGGCAATCTGTGTATGTGGATTTTTCAAATCTATTTCCATTGTTAATTTCACTTATATTTTTTACTGTAACTTGCAAATATTAGTATAGCAACAGGATATTGAATTGAGTATTTGTTCTATTTTTACAAAGGGTCTTTCACAAGTGAATTAATAAAATAAGAAATTAAATAATAGATTTTAGTAAATATGTTCAGCTTTTTGCAAATTACATTAGCATGTTATAAGCATAAGTTTGTATGCTATGTTAAATTGATGGAAAAGTTCTGTATGTAGGACTACAGTTTCCAATAGCTGTATGTTTAGAACCATGAAAGTACACAAGACAGTTGTACTGGTATTTCATTTGGTTGTTTTGGTGTGTTTTTTGTTAATTATAGCTACTGAAATTGAGCATATCAGTGCCATGTTCCAGGAGAAGCAGCAGGAGTTACAAGCTGCAGTGTTAAAAGTGGATCAGCTAACTCAGCAATTGGAGGACTTAAGGAAAGGGAAATTGAATGGATTCCAATCTTATAACGGACAGATGACAGGACCTGCAGCTGTAGAATTAAAAAAGTTGTACCAAGAACTACAGGTAAACCATTAACTGAGACATTTTTCACAATATCTGTAGATTAACAAAAGTAATATTTAGCTCCCCCACCTGGTGTTACAACTAGTGTTGTACTTGGTTTTGGGAAACCCCATTAACCAGTATGATGGAATGTGTTTTAATTTGTAAGGGCACATTAAGTGTATAAACCTCAGATAAAGGGAACTTCATTAATTTTCAAAACCGTGGTTTTTATCACCACTTTGTTAGAACTTGTAAATAATATAATAACCTGTATAAATGTTTTGAAGAGGATTACTCAGCAATGAAGAGAATGTATATGCAAAAATTGAACTCTACATGTAAACTAGTGCTTTTTCTGTTTTCCTTTTTTCTAAAATGTATTCTCTCCGACTAATTTTTCAGATCTTAATCTTTTCTCTTTTGTGAGGTAGTAGGTATAGTAAACATTGTGTAAGGTGCTTTCATAGCTAGAAAGTATGATTAAGCAGTGAAAATATCCATTGTAAAATGCAGTCTGAAAACATAATAGTGAATATATGATATAATTAAAATGTATAGGGGCTAAATAACAAGCCTGTCCTGATTATATTTTAACAGAATAATCAGAAGTAAAATATAAACTGCAAATACAAGAAAAATTTGCAGTTACCCTATACCTTATTTCTCTGAATATACCTTTATAGCTATAATGTAGATCTTATTAATTTAGAAGGTAAAGTATTTTGTTTACATTGCTATGGTTTCTGGTTTATATGTATGAAATTACAAATATTTAACTACATGTCATTTTGCCAGGATTTCATGGATTTTATAGGTTTCAGGGTAGCAGCCGTGTTAGTCTGTATCCTCAAAAAGAACAGGAGTACTTGTGGCACTTTAGAGACTAACAAATTTATTAGAGCATGTTAGT